GTGGCTCAGTCGTGTAGCGACGACCAGCACCTTGCCGGCGTGTGCGACGAGAGAGATGCCCCGGTAGTTGCCGCACTCCATCGTGTCCCCCTTCTTGAACAGAACTTTGATGGTGGCATCCTTCCACTGCTGTGGTACGTCCCCAGTCTGCCACACGTCCACGACAATGGCGTGGAACTCGCGGAGGAGACCTTGATCTCCGTCCAGGAAAAGCTTGATCAGCTCAGCCGGTAGGTCGTCCGGCCCGACGGCCTTTCTGTTGGCCATTTCCCGTACCGCTTCCTCAACCTCAAGTAGCGATGGGATTTCGTCGAGTGGAACGCACGTGGGCCACCGCTTGACCTTGTCAGCCGCATGCAGGTCGATGGTCGGCGACTTGGNAGTTGATCTCCGTCCAGGAAAAGTTTGATCAGCTCAGCCGGTAGGTCGTCCGGCCCGACGGCCTTCCTGTTGGCNAGGAGACCTTGATCTCCGTCCAGGAAAAGCTTGATCAGCTCAGCCGGTAGGTCGTCCGGCCCGACGGCCTTTCTGTTGGCCATTTGCCGTACCGCTTCCTCAACCTCAAGTAGAGATGGGATGTCGTCGAGTGGCACGCACGTGGGCCACCGCTTGACCTTGTCAGCCGCATGCAGGTCGATGGTCGGCGACTTGGTGTTGAGAAGCTTGTGGAACCACCGTGCCCACCGTTGGCGAAAAAACGTCCCAAAGGACCTTGCCGTCCTCGTCCTTGATATTCTGAGAGGTGAACGACGACCTCTTACCTTCGACGTCGATCATCTTGAGGTGCCTGTCTGTAGAAGCCCGCCTGATCCCCCTCGCGGCTCTTCTTCTCGAGCTGCCGTACATAGCCCTCGAAGAACGTTTCCAGTGCTCTCCACCTCGCGATGCTGCGCTTCTTCCGCGCCGCCTTGAGCATCGCCTTCAGGGTCGCCTCGAAGGTGCTGTTCTTTGAGGCCCCCACGTTGTTAGTTAGTTACTGCTGGGCCGCCTTAATCTCTTTCGACGCTTCGGAGACCTCGTGCTGCGCTTCGCTCGTGTACCAGCCTCTCTCTTTGCCCTCGTGCGCACCTCGCCAGCGGCGCGGTCTCAGCAGCGGCCGACATCACCGTAGTGTACTTGATTGATCAGCTCGACGAAAGCATGGAGGAAGTAACAAATGAGAAGAAGTACCTCATACCTTCATACCAACATAGTCTACAGAACCGGCCCGCACTTAAGAACCTCTTATTTGGAGCGAGGCTCGCTTCTTGTTGGCTGCCCCAAGCCGAGCACAAGTTCATATTTCGTCGTCCAGTTGTCTCCAGAAACGGTGTTCTTGTTCTTATTTCATCATCGACTGCTCAATTGGTGCACTACTCAACTGCACTCGACGCAGAGTTTCATATCCGCAAACACCCCCCCATTGGGCAACTGTCAACCGTCTTGGTGACACAAGAGTGACGTTGGGGGTGCGTACCCTTCCCGCCCTACTGACGCTCTCAAGCAAAACCCATGAGCCTACCGCCGCGTCCGGATCTCCGCTGTACTTGTCTAAGGGCAGCTTCATATTGCGCGTACTGTGGCCTACTTCCAGCTGCACATAGTAGTCGTACAGGTGGCGCTGCGGAGATTGCTGAATGATCAACCCACCGAACCACCCCATGCCCAGCCGAACAAACACTCCACGTTGCAAAAGAAATCTGTCAAGAGCAGCGGAGGTAGATTCTTGAAGGCGGAAAGCCCGCCGGGATCTCCATTCCCTGCGTCTCGTCCTCCGGGTCGTCTGGGTCCATGCTGTCGTCCTCGTCCAAAAGAGCTAGCGCGTCGGTCTGGGATTGAGACATGTCTGCGACGAAGGGTACCGTGAAACACGAGAAGGAACGTACGGGTGTCATCGCCGTTACTCAACTGAAGTGAACACACCATTTGTTCGTAGACGTGACGCGGAAACAGAATATTAGCAATATCCCAAACAGCACAAGAAAAGATGAACAGAAAGGACAATGAATTAACTGTAGTCTATGTAGTGCCAATCAAACTTACTGTCGTCGTCTTCATCGCTGTATCCAGCGCCCTCCATGCCCTCCCCGCTGTTGGCACCGTTGCGCTCATCCCCGACGACCGGCTCGCGCCTTCCGGCGCCCTCCTCCTCCCGCCCCTCGGGCCCATCGCTGCCGTCCTCCGATCCTCCTTCGTTCTCGCTGGAGTCGTCATCGTTTGGGAAGGTGTACGGCTGGTCCAAACCCTCCAAGGTGATTCGATCATCGCCTGAGCCGTCCACGGTCATCGCCATCCCGCACTTTTCGAAAAGGCGGTGTCGGTACCCCTGATTGCTGTTGAGTTTTGCCACGGCCGCTCCCGTCCATTGAGTGATCAGTACGCGCCGGTCAGATGCTGTCAGCGACGCGGTTTCCCACCTCTCGATGTTGTCCGACTGATCGAGCCACTTGTCCATCTCGTTACCAACTTCCACCTTGAGAAATCGTCCGGCTCCTGCATCAACTGGCTGCACCTCGTCCGTGCACTCGGCAGGGCCAAGCCAGGCGATAGTGTTGCACTGCTTCGCAAGATACCCCTTGACATCGTCCGTGGTCTGCGCGTGCAAGTTGTCCATTATCAGAATGGACCTCGCCTTGGGGAGCTCACCCCGCCCGCGGATCAGGCCTTCGCGGTACGACCTCTTGGCCCACTCCATGCAGAACTTTTGGTCCGCCCACGCATTCTCCTGGAAAAACACGTCCACGTCCTTGTGGTACGCGGCTTTCTCCACCGGCGAAATCCGCTTCCCCTGACCTCGGAAAATCACCGAAATCCGCATATTCTTCTCACCCGGACCGAAGATGACTTGCATGGTGCACTGCCTTTTCTCTAGGCCAGCAAAGGGCTGCGAGATGGCTACACGCAACGCGCCTGTCTTCTCCCACGTGCTGATCAGCCCGTTCACGAATGGCAAAGGCACTTGATCCACATTCCAACGCTCCCAGAGCTGGAACTGACCGTACTTGGGA